CGTAGTCTGATACGGGCATAATAGAATTGCGCAATAGAGTGCGTTATAGGAGAGACCAATCAACATACAAAACTTGCGTGATAGAAAAAAGTGACGCTGATGGATCGCTTCTATGACGCACTCTCTATTCCGCAGTTCTATTACACACCGTGTAATTTCATCCTAATGGCTTCTGCCCACAGGACATGGCAACGCTTGCCGCGCGGCGGCAGTTGGCGCAGTAGTCAATCAACATACCGTTTTTTACATACTGTAAGAATTAGAAGTTTATTAGCTACAGCGCGAATTTCTGCCGCGCAGCAAGCATTTGCGCATCTTGTGGACAGGAGCCATTAGACCGTTTTAAGTTTATTTTCAAATATTCTACGGCTTATTTCATTAGCTACGAAGCATCCGAAGATAAACTAGATAAAGACGATCTTAAATATAAGATCTGACTATGGCTAGTATTCATAACCGGATCTTACGGTTTCTGCCCGCAGGAAATGCTAACGATGCGGCAGCTAATAAGCTCTTAGTTCTCATAGGAAAACGGCACGTTAATTGGCTACCGCGTCGCTTCTTGCCGCGCGGCAAGCGTGTCGCATCCTATGGACGCCGTTATATTTAAGACTGTTGTAAGTTCATCTTGAGATGTTTTGTAACCAATGAAATAAGCGATATAGCATCAGAAAATGAATTTAAGACACTTTTAAATATAAGATCCGATTATTAATAGCGGCTTATGAACACAGATTATTATATACTACTCGATCATTAACTCCTACGAAGGACATGGCTCCGAAAAATATGTAATCGTTAATAAGTAGAATGACACTCACGTCTAATTGGTTGTAGGTATCGGCCATATTACATTTACTTATCACTGCTCCTTTTCTTTTCTACTTAACAAGTAATATGCAATACATATTTTTCGGGGTCCAAGTTTCGATACAATAAAAGGGAGTTAGCGATCTAGTCTCTATCTCTAATACACAGAAGTCTATGATATCAATCCATGAATATCGATCATGGTGCTTTGTCACTGGAATTTTATCGCTGCTATTTCATGCACTTTCATCTAAAATAATCACCAGTTGTCGCTAGTTGTCATGTTCGACTCCAACAGTGAGCAATTCCTCACAATTCCTTCTGCCCGTTCACTTGCGAGAGACATTCGTCGTTTGTTGTATCGCACCACGTGAAAAACAAAATGGATAAGCCAGTAGTTTTGGCACGTGTCATCAAGGTCCTGGGACGCACAGGCTCACAAGGACAATGTACACAAGTAAAGGTGGAGTTCCTGGGTGAGCAGAATCGACAAATCATCAGGAACGTGAAAGGCCCGGTTCGCGAGGGTGATCTCCTAACCTTACTCGAATCTGAGCGTGAAGCAAGAAGACTCCGATAATCGGAACAACAGTTTTGATCGACGCGGATAAAATCGTTGCCAGCCAGGATCCGGATTCTATCGCTTTCCAGGAGTTTACCAAGCGACACACATGGTTCACAACCAGAAGTTTACTAAGCGAAATACATGGATTACATCGATCGTGGATGACGCACATTTCGGCACACGTGCTTCTCAAAGATGGCGTATGGGCAATGTTTAATTGTTCATAAATATCTATGTATCAACACATACATCAATAGATTTTTCGAGAAGAACCCACGAAATAAGACTGCAGTCCATTTGAGACATTCCTGTTTCATGAATGTCACTATTTCAATAAATTTTAGCTGGTAACCATAAGTCTCTCATGTTTTCCTTAAATTCTCCCTGCCGAAATTAAAACTAATAATAGAGCGTAAAACTGATGAATATTTTACATAATCTTGCTTGTTTATGTTATTTTACCTCAATCTGAATGTTATTTTATATGAAATATAGATTACATGAGTAATTCAGAAGTATCTCACTACCAGTTTAAATTTTCCATTTAAAGAACATATATTCTAACTTCAGAGAAAAATGAGTTAAAAATTCACTTAACTACATCAAAGCTACAACTGAGCCGATCTTAACTTGAAATCTATGGTTATGAAGATATTTCATTCCTTATAGCACGCGTCAAAAATGAATTATATATTTTTACATTGAATATTTTTTTAAAAACTAATGTAAAAAAAACACTACATCTATGTTACACCCATTATGTACGCGCGCGCGCGCGCGCGTGTGTGTGTGTATTCTTTCTATTGAGCTAATGTAATTAAATTCTATTAATTCGTGTGTCAAAGAAAATAATTAATTGCAAAGTCAAATTGACCAACTAATAAAATATATTCTATTTTGTGTTGTTTGCATTCGGCAATTTGCGAACGATTGCTCCCAATTATATTTAATCGGTGTGACTTTTTCCTCATCTTACGTTTGATCAACAAGCATACTTATGACTATATTGTGACGTTAACACGTTCTCACCTTTCTTATAAATGAGAGAAGCATAAAACGGGTCGTATTCGTGAACGACAGGTGGTACCCTTAATTCAACATCGTTATGCAGAGCAGGCTGGAGAACTTGCACTATAAAAAATTGCATCATGGTATCTTCATCAAGCGATATCTAAAATTAAAATCTAAAATTAAAAGTTGTAAGGGATTAAGAAGATTAGAAAGTATGTTAAACTTAGCGAAACGTACTTCATCATTAATAAAAACAAAAATTAGATATTAACACAAATTTCATGGTATAGCAATAACATTAAATATCTATGTATTATATAGAACAACTTAATTTCTACTGAATATTTTAGACTTCTTGAAATCATTGCAACAATAAATATCACTGTTGCCTCGCAGTTAATTGGCACGTAATGAATTGACCAAGTCTGACGAGTCTGCATGGACGAATTATCCCTGCAAGCTTCTTTTCTAATTGCCTAATCCGCGTGTTGTCAATGCTAACGAGATAAAAGAAAAGAGAAATCACCATCGCAGTTATTTTATAACCAAGAAGCGTTGCAAATGCATTGCTAAGCCATAGTTGAGGCCACTCCTTTGGGCTGACGAGACTCTCGATGCACTGTTTTGTCAGTTGGCTCGATATTATCTTATGTATCTCTAATCGGCGGCCGTGAAAATGATAATTCATTTTGTAAAAGATATCTCTGAAATTCATGTTTCCAAATATAATAAGACATTTATGTCGAGAGTTCTGTCATATTCTGATATATTTCAGGTGATCACGAATACTAGAATAATTCGGCATGATTAAGAACTCGATGTGTGAAAAATTCTACCTATTCAACCTAATTTCGGTGACAAACAACTTTGTATGTCCAGCGTGTGACCGAGTGGACACGTGACAAATACACTGAATTTCTAAATACGAGAAAATTTTTTTTGTCCTCTTTTATAATGACGTAAATTACCTGAAAACTGTGAATCCCCAAGCTCCCACGGCTTTACTCTTTAAATTCGAATCCATGATGATAACGTTTAAATTATTTTCCCACAAATTATTCGTATAATTTTTCAAAAAACTTTGAGCATCTAAAGCAATGCTTGCGATGGGATATACATTTGCTAATTCAGTCAAGTTCATAAATAATTCGATGTCATCGTGCGACATATAATTTCGGGGTGTGCCAATTGCGAATGTTACGAGATAGGTTGACATCACCGGTGTAGGTCCAAATATCGTTATTTGTCGCTGATCCAACATTATTTCGTTCTTAATCGGCATACAGAAATGAACATGGAATTCATATGCATGCTCAATGGAGATTTTGAAGGTCGCTTTGAACGTTGGCTCGTCCCAGCATGGAAACACGCTTCGAGCACCAATCAGTCCGAAATCTGTTATATACGGCCACCTAATCACATTTCAACAATATTTCATCACATTCACAGAACAACCAATTTTTGAAACATCGTTAATCGCTCTAATTCCATGTTATTATAGCATTATATATGATTTTGACAGCGTTAGCGACATTATTTCTTTTAGCAGAATATTCCAATAAATTTTACAAAATTTTTGATAGATCAGTATGTTGATAACGCATAACAACCCATGACAACGCGCCGGAGAATTTTTAGTTTATGTCATTTATACGCGAGAAACTTATTTACTTTTTCGAAACTGACCGAACTTAGCAAGGCGTTTTAACACTCCTTCAATTCTTTCACGTCGCATGAAATATGAAATTATACACATAAAGATATAATTATTATAATTATAATATTATAATTGCATTATATATTATATTAATTAAAATTAAATTATAACTATAATTATTATAATTACAATTATACTATATTAGTTATAATTATATGTATATTATAACTGTACTTATAGAATAATAAAAATAAATAGAGAACGTTATTCGTGTACAGAATTGCTTGTCATTTTAACGAAATTTAGAAACGACAAACGCCACGCGAATGTAAATAGTGCAAAAAACAACTTTTTATTCTTGTTTATCTTTTGCCTCGCTTGCCAACCAGTCTCGGGTCATTATTGGTTTCATACTCGTATTCAGTGAACTGTGTAGAAGTGGTATATACCATGCTTAACGTATAATTTCCAGGATATAAAATTTCGTAAAAATCGAAAACGCAAATCTGTATCTGTTCCGAATAATGAAGTGCCTGAGGCTTTAGGATCATATCTTCGTCACTGACTTTTGACTTATCTTTCGACAGTCTTATCGTTTCGGGGAAAAAGTACAACTCGTGAGCATGCAAAATAATATTCGTGGTTGCACGAGTTATTTCGATGGTTATTTTGCATTCCCCGTAGAAGCTCTTGTCATTTTGTTGTGTCAGGTTGATATTATAATGTCGAGGTATTACTGCTGACGGTAAACGATAATCGATTGCATTGGACGTACACGGACAGAAATCATTCGTTACTTTAACAGCGAATATCGAGCCGAAGCTGAATAATAGTACGACGAACGCCACTCCGGTTTTCCTAGTCTTCTATAAAATAATTTTTCTTTTTGACAAAGAAGAAGAAACAACATATGTATGTATATATATATATATATATAGAAATATACGTATGATTTTAAATTTAATTAAATAATGGCCGAATTAATCAATAACGTTACGATGTCAATATATTTAAGACTGCTTTTTTCTTACCTTTCTAAACGAGTAGCTACGTCTGGACTCAGTGTCGTTATAAGATCGAATAGGACTACGAGCGGGGTATGAAAATCTCTAAATACATCCCCCGGAAGCGTTCTATCTTGATATGTCAGGATGAATATCGACGAATGTCCTGACAAAATAAACAAGAATTTTGCTTTAAATTCAAAATCATTTATCTCGTCGTCACAACAAACTTCGGTGGATAGTAGCAGAATTACAATATTCTTAACTTATCGGCGAACCGACGGACCATAAATCAAGCAACTCTTAACGTTTTGTTAATTATTGTTGTTTGCAGCTTTGATGTTTAAAAAAACGAATACATAATAAATGATAATAAATGATAATAAATAATAATAATAATAACAATAATAATAACTATGATAATAATTGCACGAACTTATTTAAGAAAGAAGAAAATATAAGATAAAAAATGCAGAGTTAATATGCAAAATCAACAATAATAGTTTATTTGTACGATTTAGAACATGCGTACAATTGTTTAATTATCAGTTATTTCTTAATTGGTCAGCATTCATCTATAGAACTATAATCGTGGAAACGACTAGTGAACCTCTCCTTCAGCCTATTTATTTGTTCTTGTCGATAGATAATCCAATGTTTAATGTAGGGTTCCGCGTTCAAATTGGCTGTTTGATTTGCGTATTGCGATATCTAAAACAGACTGTAACATATCAATTAATCAACATTATTTTGGCTTGCCGGAAAACTTTGTTGTGGCGTACGTAATCTCATACATAATATGCAAGATATTACGCACGGCGCATATTTATGTATGTAATTGAAAATAATTTAGAATATGTGCATAAATAATAGAGC